TCTTGAGTAAGGCAGGCTAACAATGTGCTTTGACATTGTTTATCTTCTGGCCTTCATGTTTCCCAGATATGTGCCAGATGTGACATTTCTATCAAATGCAATGTCAATCACTCTGACCTGAGAATCACTTCGTCTCCTATCTAAAAAGGATATTTGAATATAAAAACAATATTTATATGGAAACGAGAATCCCATTTGCAACCTGATGGATCGCTCTGACATTTAAACAATGGGATTTAAGCGTGGTCGTCATTACCCTGAGTTTGATGCTATATTATTCTCCACCTTGTGACGCACACGCTGTCAGCTTCCCCGATATCTCTAAGATTTGGGAGCGTTCCTTCTGATAAAGGGCAGGCCTATGTGGAAGTATGCGTCACTGCAATCCTCGTGTTTCACCTCGTTCTGCTTTCACAAGGAATCCATCTTACCTCTGTCTCTTCTGTTGCTCTTTCTCCAGTTATCACAAGCTGTTTTCTCCAAGTTGAGCTGAACATCTGAAGCATTCCACTTGTTTTAATAGATTTATTGGAAAATGTATTTCGACATAACGGCTCATCAGTGTGCAAACTCCTGCGCTGTAACATTTTCTCACGCCCTTCACAGACAAAAATGATATTTTAACAGTTTACATGTGGAAGTAATGACCTGCCGAGGCCAAGAATGTAGTATTAGTATTGTCCTTAAAAAGTGCCAGACTGAAAAGGAATTGGGCCTGGAATTGGTAGCCAGAGAAACCCAAGCCGTTTGGTTTAACATGTGCCGTCATGCAGGAGAAGCGATTTGGGGGTCTGAGCTGAAGAGGGAGGTAGAGAATGAGGGAGGCAGATATGTGGGGAAGGGGAGAAAAACATGCAAGGAATGATACAGAGGGGGGAGAAACGACTTGGAGAGGTCAGCGGGAAAAGGAAGGAAATGCAGCTCACTCCCCATGGGGCCGTTCTCCTGCATTCACCGGCATTACCTTTCACCTAATTCTGCTTAGGTATTGTGTGTCATTTTGTTCTGATTGGGTTTAACTAGCTGAGGGGCCGAAGCGGTTGTGAAATGTTCCCCTGCTGCCACAGGGGGCTTTGGACTAACGATGGGCCGGGATAAAATGTTCATGCTACCAATTTTGTGGCCTGAAATATCACAGTAAACACACCATGATTGTATTGGAATGAATTAAACATTAAAAAGGGAACATTAAATTATATATTGCAGCTTCTTTGGACCATAAATACACTAATAACACCAGAAACCGAAGCAGGTTGTGAAAATATATTGTGGGTGGAAGAGCAAAACGTTTTTTAACCACTGTAAAAATGTTGTTTTTTTAGGCTTAATGCCAACAAATATTGATAGAAGCTAAATATAATTGTTGGACTAAAACTATTGTCCTTAACTTTTCAATACATTTTTCACTTTTGTACTTCACAACACTAATTTGAATAGTTTGGACCACCTTAGTCGGAAAACAATGTTACGTAGCCACCACTTAAATCTAATGGTAAAAGTGGTATGAAACAAATGATGATATTGTTGCCTAATTTAAAGACTTTAAATTTCAAATAGAAGTGATAAATAAAGACAAAAATTAGTGTTGTAGTTTTAATTCAGGATCTAATTAAGGATTTGACTATCAAATGAAAAGTATTGGAGTTACAGTGTTGTCTTTGTGTTTGTGTGTGTGTGTGTTTGTGTAGGTGACAATAGTGGACACAGGGGTGAGGGGGACCATCGCTGTGGGCCTGGTGCCTAAATTCTACAGACTGGACCACCAGCCTGGCTGGCTGCCATACTCTGTAGCTTACCACGCTGACAACGGCAAGTAAGTCAAACCACCAGCCCACAGCCATCCATTAGCTTCAGTTCAGCTTCAGTTTCCTGCATGGATGGAGAAAAGGGATTGTGGCTTTTGCAGGTTCTTCATCCACACATAACTACAGCATCCATTCCCTATATGATTCTCCATAGCTCTTTTCTTTGCATTATAAAAAAATGAATCACTTAACTATTCGGTCACATATATCTAATCTTGTCCTAATGGCTCTTAACCTTGCTCACCTAATTATTGTCCATAGGGCTTCAACTAACAACTACTCTCATAATAAACTGACTTTGTCTGTAGATTTAGAGCTCAAGGTGACCTCTTTAAATGTTTTGCTTTGTCTGACCAATAGTTCAAAGACAAAGAAAGCAGCAAATCCTCATAATTGAGGAGCTGGAAGCAGTGAGTTTTTACATTGTTGCTTGATAAATGATAAACATTACTGGCATCATAAAGGTGCAGGAGACAACACACGCAGAAAGCTCATACATTACAGTTATTGCTGTATATTTATACACATAATGATGATTGAATGGTTCTATATTTGCAGTAGCTAGCTTTTTTTATATTGTGAAGATTCATATATTTGTGTTCTTCCTAGGTTATACAATGGAAACCCTGTCGGTCAGCAGTTTGGGCCAAAGTGTGCTCGTGGTGACCGCGTCGGCTGTGGAATACACTCGGAAAACATTGAAGCAGGTTTTACAACAGTCTTTTTCACCAAAAACGGCAAAGAGGTAGGTGTTCTAAAACACGAGGACATTCTGTAATGTTCTGTTTCAAACAGGAACTGTCAGTATGTATTAGCGTCGTGTCTTTCTTTCTCTTCACCCACTGTTACCATGCATCCCTGCCCTCTGCAGGTGGGTTCAGTGGAGGTTCCCGTGTCTGCGGAGGGGCTGTTCCCCGCCGTAGGGATGCACTCCATGGGGGAGGAGGTGAAGGTTGACCTGCAGGCGGAGTGGTTCCTGGAGGTAGACGATAGTATGATGATGGTGGACAGCCATGAAGATGACTGGGGGCGGCTTTTCGATGTCAGGGTTAGCGGCACGGTAAGAAGTAGAAAAGGTCACTTTTGTTTTGTCCCTGTTAAAGCAATACGTGTTGTCCGCTATCTCTTGCCTAGCTTAACTCGGAGATTGCAAGTGTTACTAAATATCATGAGTATAAGAGCATATAAGACAATGGCAGACTGTATTTTAATTCCTAATGTGAACTGGCCAAAGACTAGATGCATTTCCAAATAGCAGTGCAAGTACACATTAACATTATCCTTATTGAATCTCTTCATCAATCTTTAACAAAACAGACAATATTTTCAAGATACATTTGTGGTGGGATTGTGTGTCTCTGATTAAACTATAAAATGTGAAAAATAACATTTGCAGAGCTTGAACTGAATTGTTTACCTTGTTCCGACCATTGGCCATAATATAAAGCATTTATTCTACAAAACACACAGATCTTACTCGTTGTTGGGACTATATCACCTTAAAGAAAGGCAACACATGAATTATACTCTTTATAATATTATCAGTTCATTAAAAGTTGTATTACTTAAGCACTGTTTTAAGAAGTATTAAACAAAATGATGTAGCAGTTTATGCTAGTTAGCTTGTAGCTGATTTATGACCGGTAATTTGAGTTCCTGAACACGGCACACGATGTACGTGGAAAAAGAACATTTACATTAGAAAATTACATATATTAACTGTGAATGGGACAGATTAATGTGTGGCTTTTCCGTCTCTTGTACTTCTGCGTGGTTGTTGCCAGTTCCCCGTGTTTGTTTTGTGCCTTTTTACAAGATCCTTCATCTGCCTATTCCCCAGTAAATCCCTCTTTGTTGACAACTGTACTTAATGCTTTAGCAAGAAAGGCTCAGTGATATATCTTTTCAGTAACCGTGGACACGTCTTGGGATCTATCAAAGCAGTTTTCAAACCATCTGTTAGCTGCTGTTTCGTCTCACAGGGTGAATAAAAGAATGTAAAGACTTTAGCGTATATAATTAAAGCGTTGCACGGCACTGGCTGAGCTAAACACTGAACTATAAATCCCTATGATTCCTACGAGGCAGTCAGTCCTGGATGGTTTTATTGCACTAGGCACACTCTGAATCAGGTATTGTTCAAGAACGCAATCAGTGCCAAATGTTCAAGTTAACATTTTATATGAGGAAGGTATAACAGATGATATATATTCTTGAAGAAGTGCGTTATTGAAAGTCATGTAGCAATAGATAATAGCTTAAAAGGCAACAGTAACGCAGCGTACACATGGCGGCGTGCGTTGAAGCTTACCGGTGGGCGTGTCTGAAACTCGACCAACAACCAATCACATGAATCTCCCGCCCCGGACACACAAGCACTCGGTTTGATTGGCTAGAGCTTGTACTGGCATATGATTTGATTGGCTGACGATTCCTTCAAAGCTTCAAAAGTTGAAAATTGCTCAACTTTTGAAGTGAGCAATACGAGCGAAGCGAAGGAACCACAATGCAGTTCGGCAAAGCGTGACGTCACCCCATTCAAAGTGAATGGGCAGAAGCGTTGAAGCTTCAACGCACGCCGCCGTGTGGACGGGCCGTGTTACAGAGCGATCAGTACTAGGGCTGCACGATTTTGGGAAAAAATCGAATTGCGATTTTTCTGACAAATATTGCGATTGCGATTCGAATTGCGATATTTGTTTTTAAGCGACCCAACGGAAGTTTATTGTAAAAAGCGACCATAACTCCGGCTAGGAAGGTCGTATCAACGTACTCCCGTCTCTAGCACCCCCACAGCCCAAGCTACGAGTGAAATAACTAAACTTACATGAAACTTCCGTTGGGTTGCTTTAAAGTCAAGCTTCAGTTTAAGATTCACCCTGTAATAGAAACATGTGATGGAGCATTACTAACCTGACTCAGATGGTTTGTTTCACCAAACCATCTAGGAAAGCTCCATTGGAAGCTATTTGGAAAGGGCAGGCACTTTCAAAAATACTTGGCAGGTGATTGGATCAATCTGTCTATCACCTTCTATCATGGGCCACTTCTGATTGGTTAACAATGGCTGCTACATGTGGAGCACAGCACTTCTGATTGGCGTGGATGACTGACACACAAGAAGAACAAAATAAAATAAAAAGTTAAAAAAATATCGCAGGCTTTGTGATTTGATAATCNAGTGCGCATGTCAATCCATCCAGAGCCCGGTTGGAGTTAGTGAGCCAGCACTTCCCTGCACATAAATGAGAAACAGAGAAGCTAAGTGGACTTCCAAGGGTTAAATGTGGTCCAGGCCTTTCAGTAAAATCTCTGCCTGTGCGTAAAGCAAGCCGTTATAATTTCTCAAAGATATAAGGAGAATTAATGATCTTATTCAGACGGCACGATTGATACTCTTTCATTAATCATTCTAAATGTTGTGTTATCTGCTATCAGTTTGCATTCTTTTTCTTAGCAAATGTACTCGCACAGTTAAGTTTGTACCTCACATACCACAAATAAGTAGTGGGGCAAAAAAGGTATTTAGTCTCAGCCAGCCAATTTGTGCGCAAGTTCTCCCACTTAAAACAATGGAAGAAGGCCTGTAATTTTTCATCCTAGGTAACCTCAACAGGAGGTAATGAATGTTTTACCCAACCCCCATGTTTCACAGTAGGGTATGGTGTTCTTTTTGGATGCAACTCAAGGCAATTCTTTCATCCTCCAAACACGTCTGGTTGAGGTTTTTCCAAAAGTTCTATTTTGGTTTCATCTGACCAATATGACATTCCTCCCCCCAATCCTCTTCCCTGGAATCATCTAAATGCTCTCTATCAGCAAACTTCAAGACGGCCCCTGGACATGTACTGGCCTTAAAGCAAGGGGGACAACGTCTGGCACTGCAGGATTTTGAGTCCCCTGGCCGGCGTAGTGTGATTACTGAATGGTAGCCTTAAGTTACTTTGGTCCCAGCTCTCTGCAGGTCATTGACTAGGTCCCCACCCACCTGTGGGTTCCGGGAATTTTGCTCCACCGTTCTTGTGATCATTTTGACACCCTGGGCGGTGGGATCTTGCGTGGAAGCCCAGAATCGAGGGAGATTATCAGTGGTCTTGTATTCTTTCCATTTTCTATATTGCTTCCCACAGTTGATTTTCTTCAACCAAGTTGCTTACCTATTGCAGATTCGTCTCCAGCTGGTGCAGGTCTACAATTTAGTTTTCTGGTGTCCTTGACAGCTCTTTGGTCCTTGACAATTAGTGGAGCGTTTTGGAGTGTTTAACTGTTTGAGGGTTTGGACAGGTGTCTTTATACTGAATAACCGAGTTCAAACAGGTGCCATTAATACAGTTAACAAGTGGAGGACAGAGGAGGCTCTTAAAGAAGAAGTTATAGGTCTGTGAGAGCCAGAAACCTTGTTTGTAGGTGACCAAATACTTATTTTCCACCATCATTTGCAAATAAATTCTTTAAAAATCAGACAATGTGATTTTCTGGATTTTTTTTTCTCATTTTGTCTCTCATAGTTGAGGTATACCTAGGATGAAAATTACAGGTCTCTCATCTTTTTAAGTGGGAGAACTTGCACAATTGGTGGCAGACTAAATACTTTTTTGCCCCACTGTATAACCATGACATTTTCACAAAAGAAAATATTGCCCAACTTGAAATACAGACATAATATAAAAACATCACAATGGCTCAATTTCTTGGCCGAACATCTCTCAATGAAACAAATCACTGTATTTAACCAACATTAAACAGTTTAATCTTATGATGCCTGGTGCTACTTTCTGAGAACTCTGAATCTGTCTTTTTTGATATACACTTTGTCTTTGTTCTTAAGCATCTTGTCATTAAATGTACACATTGGCTTGCCTTATGTTAGCTTATATAAGGTGAAAAGAGAGTCAGTCTGAGTAGAGATATGAAACCTGATATCAAGAAAGTCAAAGACTATTTCTTGGATCTATAATTTGAACAAACTTCACAATTCGGCTGCAAACCAAGAAGCTTATGGAGACATTATTTCTTTAACTCAATCTTTTTGGCAGCATTTATTAGCATTTATAGTGCTTGTTTATCTGCAGTATTGTTATTTTCCAGCTCATCGCTGCTCTCAAAAGTGTGTAATCCTCTGCATCAGTTATGCCATGAGGGAAAGATGGGACACAGAGGCTGTTTGTTTAGAAGACTAAATTAAAAGTGATGAACACCACTGCGATTGGATAATTGAACCCATGTGGGATGAAAGACGGTACCTGTCGGGAACACTGTCGTTCTCTCATGGCTTTCAGACTCCCATTCCAGTGCAGCAGCTGGAACACAGTCATCAGCTCCTGAAACACATTTAAAACAGCAGGAATCAGGGATGAAACTCGCCTCAAGAGACTACATGTGTAACAACTCGGTGTTGCAAAACAAGAATGCTTCCCTCAGTTTCCCTTTTACCAATTAGACATAGGGTGGTGATGTTCTGGCTACAAGCTCCGTGTTCAAAGATAAAGAGGTCACAAATCGGCTCAAACTGCTGTGTTTTAACCCTTTCAATAGATCTAGAAGCAAACAAACTTCATTTAACTTGTCTCTATCTTTGTTATATTAGATGCACATTAAAGCTTAACACATACAACACTCTTAACACTGCATCAAGGCTCAAACCTTTCAAACTGCTATTTGCAATTCTATCGTCACACTATCCTCTGGCAGAAAATGCATCTTAACACGACAAACATTCCTGAATTTTCCACACCTGAAACTCCAGCATGGATTTTCCTTTGTTGGACTCGAGCATGAAGCGAAATGCTCCAATTCCTGTGTTAGGGTTGTCAGCCTCTTCTCTGTTTCCCTGTAAACAACAACAACAACAACGAGTTAATGTCACTCAGCTGTGTTGGCTCAAACAACAGGTATGGTGACATGAAATCTAACTGTGTGTTGTATGCATACAAAACATGTTTTGTAGGAGTGTGTTTTAAAAAATAATGATATCTGACGGAATTTCTTTCCTTTTTAAGGCATGATTTATTTGTGGACAAATAGCCATGTTCATGTTTCTAACTGCATGAGATTTTTAAAATTAGATAAGATATACTTTTTGTTCCTAATTTGGGAAATTGTTTTGTATAGCAGGATGTAAAAATAGGCATTGCACATCAATTCAAAAATAAACAGTAAATATATACATATTAACAATTCATCTAAAGATAATCCATACAGCACACAATATAAAATATACAGAAAACTAAATCAATCATAACATCTGCAAAGTAGTCACAGTTTTAAAATAAAATGTAAATGCAGTGAGGTAGTGTGAGTGTAAAAAACAGTACCACATGAATTAATACTAATGCATTATTTAATCTTTATTTTCTGCAACTTTCACATATCAGCACAACACAGTGCAGATACACTGTGACTTCCTCCTCTCTGACAGTGAATCACTTGAGCACAGGACTTCCTGTAATCTATTATGAATAACTTACATTGAAGGAGGCCAGCGCCTCACTGACGCTCTTCTCTATGAAGTCGTCTGTGATGCGGCGGGAGGGATGTTCATTGAAAACAGAGTTCATCAGGGCGATCTTGGCAGCGCTGCGTCGAGCCTCGGCTTTGGTGGGACAGAACTGTCAAACGGGGAAGGAAACATGCATTAGCGGTCAGATACGATCACTGTTACAGATTTGCAGTCCAAAACATAAAGCCAGCCAGTGTTTATGTGGAGTTCACACTGTGAACAGACACTTTTTATCTGTCCTGAGAATCCATATTTAGTGTGCTGTGGTTGCAAGCATGTGGGTTTTTTTAAAGATATTTTTTGAGCCAGAGAGTGCTTTTAATTTAGATGCAGTGTATAAAGGGAGAGACAGATGGGAGAGCATTGCCTAATACTACCAGCTCCAACTGAGCTCTCCAGTGGTTCATGTTGGAAATGTTTCAGCTTGTAACTAACATAGCACATTAGTGACCACTTGTGTTAATCATACTGTAAAACACCAATAAGCACTTTCTTCAAATCAAAAGAAGATGTGATGATGTTCTCACAAGCATGCTAAGAAATGAAACACAAGGTACCTGGAAACTCCCGAAGCAGCTGCCTCCGGGAAGGCTGACGTAGCAGACATAAGGAGGGTTGCTGGATGGGACCATTTCATAAACAACTAGAGCTCCGTTTCTCAGGTCGGCGCCTCTGGTCAGCTTCATCTGCCAGAACTCTTGCAGAGCTTCCACCACGTTTACTGCCGGGCACAGAGATGAAAGCAACCTCATCACAAGCAGGAAACATGAGAATAAGTAGTTCCAATGTATCAAAATATGACGGAGGGAAAACACATTTGAGCTGGACGGATTGTAAACAGGATGGAGATCACACACACACACACACACACACACACACACACACACACACACACACACACACACACACACACACACACACACGTGGGGGGATTGTCGAAAATTGAATTTATACTAAGAAGGGATTCATGCGGACAAACTTGACATTTTGACTAGCAATTGGATATGGTGCTGGACTGATTTCATTCTGAAATTCGCAAAAGCTTCTGTTTATTTACAAGTTTTTTTATTGATTTATATTTTGTAAGTTACTCTCTATGAGGATGCAAATTATGCCATGTATAAACTGTTGTTGCTTGTTTGCTGAACTTCAAATATATATATTCATTTTAATTTCCTGACAGTGCAGCTGTGTATAATTCAAATGTACTTTCAGTAAGTATAAAAATCCTTGTCACGATGTGGTAGATCAACACTTTCTAACTGTGAAATCTTCTCTAAACACAAAGATGGGAAGGGAGGGGGGGAAGGTCATCTTGAGGATGCCAGAGGTTTTTCCTGTAAATCTTTAGGTGGTGGCTGATGAGAGGAAACTCTGTCTCACCTCAGAGGAGCTGCTTAAAGAAAAACACTCCCAACAACTCTACACTTTATGTGCTCATGTGACAAAGCTACATCCCTGCCCTCCAAAAGGAAAACAACAACAAAAAAAAGCAGTAAATGATTTGCGGCTGAATCGGAAATGATTACTTCTGTTTGGATGTGCAGGGAAATGTGAGTGCAGCCAACATCATTGTTTTTCTCTGAGCTCTTTGCTGCTGAGCTCTTGCTGTTTCAATCGCTCTCAAATCTGGAGACCGTTCAGTGCGTTTAAAGAGCTAAATTCCAACACTTGATTTATAAATCCCTAAACTGCAATCCAAAAAAGGCTCTTACTGTGTGAAAAGGGAAAAATACTGTGCTCTCTAAAAACTGTTCCCTTGCTGGTTGCCAATAAAAAGTAATAACATGTAAACAACAATTTGCTATTGAGAACAGTCAATTCAATATTGTAAATGAAGCAAGTAGCTCTCCGTTATATTACTTTTACAACAAAGACATTTCTCATATGTATCCGTCCAATAGTTAACTTAAGCTAGTGTCCCCCATAATATACATGAATTACTGAGTCGACCAGAAATAGACTCAAGAAAACAAATCATTCAGACCCTGACCGAGTTATTTTTGAGCCTCTCAGGGATCGGTGCAGTGATAAGATAGAACAACAGGAAATATTTAGAGATAGAGGAGGATGGCATGTGACAATGGTGCTGGCCCAGACTCAAACAAACTATGAGGCAGTGGCCTGATTTCAATCAGCACATGACTGACAAATATATCACGTGGAAAAGACAAAATAGACATAAATAGACTTAAAAAATGATATCAGCCAGGGTAAATACTTGAGGGTCATTCTGCCAGGGACCATGTTCTAATGGCAGAATTACTTTCCCTGTCTTAATAATCTTAAGACAAATAAAGGCCTTTTCATTCTCCGATAATGGCTGAATAATAACTATGCCACAAAGAAAATATAGGAACCCCAAATTACTGTATAATGTAGGGGAAATTATTATCTCCAAATGCCAAAATAGAACAAATGATTTTCTTTAACAAGAACTCCTTTGCCGCAAGATTAAATACAAAAATTGGAGCAACATTAAGACAAAAATACCAACAGTCTTTATGGTGCTGCCAAATTTGAAGTTGTTAAGCTGCCTAAATGGGATAGAGGAGGAAAGAGGCTGTTAGTCAGGAGCACAGAGGGACAATCTTTTGGAAATAAATCCTATTAGCAGCGGGGAGGAACATTTGTGTAAGCTCCACCGCCAACAGGACAGCAGCTTTTGGTGTAGTGTCTTATGCATAGGGCTTTCCAGCATGCAATAGAGATGAATAACATGTGTTATAAAGGTAGGTAAACTATGATAAATAGATACAAGCATAAATAAACTATACCTCGTGACTTTTGATTATTTTTAGGTTAACAGTTGGGCAAATTGCATACCACTGTTAAAGCTCGATGAGAGAGTCTGGATAACCCACAAACATATTTTTGATAATTAATATACGGATGTCTATTTTGATCAGTAAAGATGTGAATAACCAAAATGTACCCATAGATATACTGATAATAAGTGAAGTCCCTGCCTTTCCTTTGTTGTTAGTACGTTTTACTGTCTACATTACAGGACAGTAGTGTACCGTGTCCAATTTAAAAATAAGTTACATTTAATTAGGCTGATGTACAGGTATTAAAGCTTATTGTGTGTAAATGTAACCCCCTGCAGCTATGTCTTAATCCTTTAATGGATAGATAGCCAATGTTATAGCTATCTAAATATTAGAGGAACACTTTAATTAAAAAAAACAAAAACATTTTGGTGACATTGCATCCCAAAGAACACGGTCAATCCTATAAGTAAAAACAATATAATGTCAGTATAGTTGTCAGTGTGCAACCAAACATAATAACGGAATGTAGCTTCATTTGTGTCTGTTGCTAATCCATATCCAAACAAATGGTGCAGCTCAAAGTGGCTTTCTGCTCCTCAAAACTCCCTAAGTATAAACTAAACTATATGCCAGCAGTGGTGTAAAATAACCAAGTACATTTACTCAAGTACTGTACTTAAATACAATTTTTAGATACTTGTACTTTACTTATTTCAATGTTTTGCTACTATGTACTTCTACCCCACTACAGATGTAAATAGTGTACCTTTACTCCAATACATTTATTTAATACCATCAGTTACTATGCAGATTTGGATGATATTAATGATATGAAATATAATCAACACTTAAATCATACTTTAGTTACACCTTGAGTAATCCACAAGCTATCCTGCAGTACACTAAGTAATTACAACTAGCTGCACCTTTACCAGCTTTGATAACACTTTAATTCATCAATAATTATAATTAAAACATAACAATGTATTGTTCTGAAATGGGCCAATGTGCATAATGAGTACTGTTGGTGCAGGATGCAGGACTTTTACTTGTAACAGAGTATTCCTACACTCTGGTAGTTATACTTATACTAAAGTAGACTACAAGATCTGATTACTTTTCCCACCTCTGTCTATATGCCAGATGTTAACACCATTTGTCTCCACATTAACAGAGCATTATCCCCGTTACCTCTGCCGTAGCCCTGAGTGTGTTTAGCGAAGCTCCGGACCACAGCCTCCACCGCCTCCTTCAGCACCGCCGGGTTCCCCGGGTTACAGTGCCCTGCCCCCGGCCACGGCCCCGCTCCCAGCCCGCCGTACAGGCTGTGGAGCTGCAGCGGAGGAGGCGGCGGAGGAGGCCCGGACGAGGCGGACAGAGAGGCCGGGGAGGGCAGCAGCGGCGCGATGGGGACCGTCACCCCGGGCCGGAGAGAGGAGCGGAGCGTCCCGGTCAGTCCTGAGCCGAATCCGATGCCTGGCTGCAGCCGCTGAGGGCGGATACTGTCCGGGAGGACGTGAGATTCCATTGTCCCGACGTAACGTCTGCGAAGTCCCGGTGTGGGTTAAATGTGTACCCGACGGTTTTAGGAATAAACACGGTCTGTAGAGGCTGGAGGAACAAAGTGTTAGCGGGGTTTTGTCAATCACAGCCTAGAGAAGTAGTTAGCCGATGTTGATTCGACACATTTCACCGATGAAGTGCATCCTCGCTGTGTGGATTAGACTGCGGGGATGTCAGTCAACCGGTGCCTTCAAGGACCCCTCGTTCTCTAAACACTTAGAGCTGGGAAATCCATCACTGTACACAGTGTTAATGCATTAATTATTATTAAGATAAATACACTTAATTTCTCTAACATTATGTAATTACACCTTACTTAACACTTTGTAATGGATGTTGGGTGTTTGCTAAATATGGTATGGTTATAGACATATTTGGTGTTTGCAAGCAAATATATATTTTTGTTTTTGTTTGTGTGTATTTTTCTAATCCAAATGTACTGTTTTAGGATGCCATTTGAAAAGTATTGTAAAACCCATAGTGCCAATGTTGCGATTGTGTGTCTCTATGTAGGCTTTCTGTCCATGTAAAATAAATTAATGTTATCTAAAATAAACACTTTCTCTTAACTTTGACCTTGCTACTGATTCCGTATGTTATCAGTTACAGCTTCAGGGATCAATACTATCCAATTTGTAAAGTTAAACTTTTTGAGCTTTGTCAGAAAACAATTTAGGTCAAACCTTTGTTATTCTGTTGTATGATAATTGTGGACGCCATAATTAGTGGTGTTGTTTTGCTGGATTTAATGACATTAAACAGTGTTTGTAATGTTTTATGCACCAAGATTTAAAACAAAGATTTGATAATAGGATCTGACAATGTAATAGATAACCCAGTTCCCCTATAAATGGTCTAATGGCACAAACGGGAAACAGATGGAAATGCTTTAAAATTAAAATAAATCTAATTGAAACATTTGGTGACTTGAGCATGAATAACATCCTAATTTCCTCTATGCAATGTTCAGTTATGTGCATTATGTTTTCATAATTACGACATTTACTGAAGCACCTGAATGCAGCAGTGGAAAGTCAAAGAGGTATCCAGCCAAGAAATCTGAGCCTCCCCTGTTCTCTGGGACGAACAGAGCAAAACTACAGTGTGGGCTCTGCAGCCTGAAGCATGTGATTAAACCCTAAAGTGAAGTAACCCAGTTTACTCGATAAGAGGCTGAAAACAATAACGATGCTTCTCTGGAACAGACAATGAAAGTCTGAGGTACCTGGGTTAAACTTTAAGTTGGTGGACCACCAAGGACTTGGGGAGGAAATGAGTCCTCCTCTAGAGCTAAAGGTTTTTTAGACTTTTCTGGAGCCTGTGTACATTCTCATTCTTTCTGTGGTCTGGTTTCAGGCCAGTTGAGTGTGGAGGAGGATGATGGGGAGAATTTGAATATATCATTTTCTCAGATCTGAATTTGCCAAAACACATTTTTAACAAATCTAGTAGACTGAGCGACTGCGTATCTCAGATCAATCTAACATCTGAGACGTGGCCTGGTAGCATTGATTACTTTAGAGTGCACATACAACACAAAGGAAAACAAACCATCCTTTATCACAATTGTAATGAGTGTTTGGCTCACTTGAGGGCGTGCTCTCATTTCATTACATCAGTAACCTCAGCTATGCAGCTCAGGGACAATTCAACACTGATGTTGTTCTGCAGTCCTTTTCTAAAGCTGCTCGGCAGGGCCATTTACCTTTTTTGACCACTTCTTGTGATCAGTTCTTTCTCTGAATGTTGATGGAATCACTATCCTTATAACAAACCACTGGCCTGAACATTGTGTGTTTATTGAAGTAAGCTTACATGTCAAAAATCCAGTGGTGGAAAATAAATGTACTTTGAGATTTTGTATATTATGCTACTTTACATACACTACATTAAATAATGAAATATTATCCCCTCTTAACCTCTCATATTGTTTCAGTTAAATTACAGTTTAAAACCATAAGAAGTACAATGCTCCAATGATTGATGAACAAAAGCAACGATTATAGCAATTTCCAAACAATGATTATAAATAGTATTTTTCAGAACTTTGTTTTTTGTCTTCTCTACAGTTTCATTAATCATCTCATGTTTAGACTAATCACATTTATCCTGTGACCCTTTGAAGTAGGCACTGACACCTATACATTGGGAAACAGTGAACTACAGCTAATAAAGTACTTTAAACTCGCTCCACCTCAACCAGCTACAACAGTAAAGTCCTGATTACTCATTGATGCATCGGTAACAATCTAATCATATGATACTGTATCAGTCACATTCCTATCTTCCTACAGAGACAGTAACTCTGAGGTCATTTCCCTGATAATACTGCTTTCCTTTATTTCTGAAGGGGATGAACACAGAATCTGATCAAACATATATACAATAATGTTACTTATATATCAGTACTGAATAGTGTACTTTACAATACAAATCATTATATTAGCTCATAAGATATGAGTGGTGGAATGTGAAAGTATTCCAGTAGAATTTTTACTTTTACTTTAGTTATTAAGCATACGTTAGACTTTCACCCTACACCACTGCATCTTAGAGAAAAGTATTGCTTTTTTAATTTACTACGTTGATCTTTAAGATTTGGATAATTTGAACATGTAACAAGTAAGCAGGATAAGATGCAGTAGCATATTATCAATCTAGTACTATACGAAGTATCCACAGATACAGCATTAAAAGGAGCTTACATAAAAAAATGTGTGGGAAGAACTGATGCTATAATAATATAACTCTTTGAAAGACCATTCTGCTTAATGAAAAGTATACTTTTTATACTTGGAGTTCATTTTGATGATAATACTTCTGTACCTCTCACTGTTTGTGTTCAGGACTGTTGCTTTTTATTTTTAGACTATGTTTTTTAAGGTTTTACTCAGGTCAAGGTTGAGTCCTTTTATCAACATTAGATATTAGATATTATTAAAAATGAAACAACCAATACTATAAAACATCATTATGCTGCATTTACTGCCACAAGAGAAAGAACCCCTAAAATATTATTCAGTAAATTTTCTTCTGTCTCTCTTTCATGGTTTTTCTGAGTTTATGTTCACCGAAATTACACACATTACTCTCCAACAGTTCCCACCTCCTCCTGCTGCTGCAGCGTTTAGACTCAGGTCAGTGTCTTCCCTGCATGCCTTGCATACCAGATTTGTTTTTATTTTCTAGAGGATGGGATGGGAGACGTAAACAACCTAAAGCCGTTTCCACCCGGGGAGTCTAGGCCAGCCGTGAACACACTCTGGACAGAGAGATTTCCACATCTGGTTTCCATCAAGCTTTAAAGTCAAAACCTGATTTTTAAAACTCCAGTGAAGGGTTTTTCCAGTACATGAAAGAGACTCAAAGGATTGTTGTTCAAGTTTTATTAAACAGCTCCTGTTGTTTATGCAAACTTCTCACATAATTCCCCTGTATTCCCAATTTTCCCCTGTGTTGACTGGTTTATGGCTGGGGGTGGGTTCGGGGTTGAGAATTAATTATTTTACAACAGCCATAAAGATAAACTGGTAGCACTGCAGTAACACCCTGTTGGATGTAAACCAAAGGTAGAAGGTTTTTAATCCACAATAACGAATGTCATATGTTGCTGGAAAGAACAGCTGACATTTTAAAAGACTACAGTGTTTTGTGACTATTAACTCTAAAATGTAAGGTTTTGTATTCACTCCCAAACAGGACACTGAACTTGAACTCATTCCCTACCTGTTAAGGTAGACATTTAGTAAAAGCACATAATCAGAGTTCATGATATATATATATAGTAAATAACAGTGTTAGGAAAGCTACTTTAAAACCATAGATTTGCAAGCCACCAACTTTGTCACAAAGGAAGAAGTTGAACTATTCAGCAGAGCTACTCTAAGTAGAAATCCAGTTTGGTTAACTAAAGGTACTTAGAACAAGTTTGTTTAAATAGTAAAACAATTAGATTAGATTGACTATATACTGTATATATGTGATATAAATTGTAGAAAAGGCTTAAACAAAATAGTCACATGCCAAATTAAAATGGTATTTCATTGTTCTGTTTTCTTCGTTTCTTCTGTTCACGTCTGAGATATAACCTCAATACCACTAAAGAAATAAGGATCACATTGTATTACTTACTTTAAAATAACAAAGTTGTTGTTTACTTGTGAGTATTGTAACATCGGACTTTCACGATCTTAATAACTAAAACAGTCTTCACACAAGGTCATCCAGGCACTACACAAAGGTCAAAGGTCACGTGTCTTGGGATGGCTAATGCATGAAAGAAAACGTGGTCTGTTTTGTCAAAGGGGGGTTATTACAGTGGAAAATAAAATAAAAAGCATTCCTTTCGAACCCAAAATAAAAGGTTGGAAACAACTAAAAGGCAAAACATTTCTAATCGACCATTGAATCACTGTTATCATTGATGAAAATATAAAAGTGGTTGAACTACCAGCAAGCTACAAAATTCCGTTTCCTCCCTAACAACAACTCCCCAACACTGGTAAATAAATAGTAAGTTCACAACCACAATAGGAACTCTGTGAGGCAATACTTAAGCACAGTGATGAAATGAGCTACATCCCAACATGACATCTTAGTTTTAACATGCTAACCTTTGCTAGCTAACAGAGAGCACAGCTGAGGCTGATGGGAACCTAATTCGTTTTGCAGATCTGTACAGGACTAATTGAAATGTTGGCCTTGTGATTCAAGGGAACGTGATTCTGTCCCAAATGTCATGGCAACACACCACTCAACATGAAAACTTCACAGATCTCTTCTTATAGGAAATTATTCACAGGGCCCTTTAGTCTATATTCTGATAATTTAAACTGCTCTCTTTCCAGCCTTGGGGAAGCGGTTTCTACCAGTTTGATGAGGCTGGACTTTCTTTGTGCTTGGGTTTCAACCACAGCTTTGTCTTAGACATGAAGATAAAACAATCTATTTTTCAGACAGTAACAGGACAGTGTGACCCGGCCAGGGACAGGACTTGCAGCATCTTGTAATGTAATGTTGATTATGCTTCTAAGAGCAGGGGAAGAGAAGAGTTGGTTTGGGCAGAAAGTACTGTCACAACTGTGAGTAATTCTGTCAACATTGTCAATTCTCAAAACCTGACGTCAATTTGCAGTTCTCCCGTGTACTCATTTTGTTTTCAGTTCAATGCTCCAAGAATTGTATCACAACATCCATCAATCAATCACAGTTAATCAGTGCCTTACAAAAATACCATGAAAGCTAAGGAATGGTCATTTATGACTCATCCCTTATTGTAAATGTAAATTATTGAATCATGATCCCATTACAACCGTAATTGAAGTAAAGTTGAGTAAATACAATTAAAAGCTTAGTTTAGGGTGTCATTATTGACAAAAGTAACAAAATCTGTGAACGATTGTAAAATAATTATAAATTAATCAGGGTATGTTAAAACAATAATGAAATAAGCAGGGATAAAACAGGACAGTCTTTCAGTTGTCTTATCTCTTATCATATATTTTGCAGCTGATGTGGCAATAACAAAGTTTGGCCTCGACGTCATCGTGGTGATGCTGTTCTCAGTAATTGAGCGTTTTATTTAATCACCATGATAAGATGCACTCCAGTGTTGGACAGTCAGCAAAGGGACTTTGCTTTTGTTTGCCTAGGTGGCAGATGAGCAGCAAGGGTCGGCGCTGTGATCCCCTCACTGTCCCAAAACTCCAATAATGTTTTGTTGCTTTATCTTGTCCAATCAGATTCACAGGAGGGCGGCGCTGCATCAGCATGTGTGACTATAAGAGGTGGGGGAGTCCAGCAGGAAGGCACCATCCGGTCCAGTTTTCTCCTGCAGTACAGGTAAGTCTGAATCTGTTAGTATCATTTGCTTATGGGCTTTAACTACTGAGACAAGTCCACAAACTTAAGACTGAAATGTAACGCATTGAAAGTTAAATGTGCCGTGTCTCTTAGAGATTTGAAGAGAGCGCAGATGTTAATAATGACAATAGGATGGGGTGAATTTGAACTAAGGAAAGACATGTCTTAAAATTCCTAAATATGGGTAGCATTTGCTCCTGAAGTCTTCAATGTCATACGTTTATATAAAGTTATGGCATGATCCCTTTCAATCTATTTCTTTGAATTTAGTTGTTTCAGTTTTATTAGTTTGTTAAAAAATGTTATGTTGGTTTAGATTTCTCATCTACAACAGCTGTTTTTAAGAAGCAAACCTGTTTCTCTATTTTGATACTCTGACTGAAAATGATGTCTAAAGGAGATAATACAAATCATGTTTGACTCTATATCAGGGTAGTATAAAGTATACTATGGTCAACATGAGTAAAATCATCTAAACGTCTTCTGTTCAGTTAACAACCAAATTCTGAAACTTGTTGAAGTCCATTGTTAATTTGCCAAACATTTTCCGGTTCTGAAGTACTTGCTTTTGTTATCTAAAATGTCCTTTATGTTTAACGTAACTGTGACAATAGTATGGAATCAGGCAAAGTATGGCCAATCAGATTTTAATCTTAATTAAAAGTTTAAAATAATAAATAAATGACCCAAAGTAGTATTCACCACTGAGATGTGAGAAGCATAGTGGAAGAGAAGAGGAAAAACGTTGCGATAACTTGGTTAAAAAAAAAGAATTTTAGGCACTTTAAATTGGGTGAATAAATGTGGGCTACAACGGTATGAAAATATTCTTTCTCCTTAAACATATCTTATTCTAAATTCACAACAGATGTATTAATAGCCTACTAAAGAAATCTTGTTTTGTTGCTCTAAAACATGAAGGTTAACTTTGTGACCTTTGGAACACATTGTTGTGGTAAATTACTCCAAAGTCAAGGTTCACCTATTAGTGTTGACAGGACGTCCCTGATAAGCCAGATAAAGTTTACAAGTTGACATGTGGGCGTTTGGACAAACTAGAAAATATTTATTTTATTATCAGAAGACTGACTGTGATTCCTGGAAAATGTGAGAACTTTCATCAGTGAGTCATCTGATTGAGAAACAAATATCTATTCAACTTCAGAAAACAACAGACTCATCTTGATGCTTTTCATTTTGGTTTTATTACAAAAAAATAAATAATAGAGAGAGGATCACGCAGCACTATCAAGCCCCAGGTAATATCAAACATAGATAATAATTGAGTATATTTGTTTTTGTAGGTCTCCTCCACTCAGCAGCCATGAAATTCTCCCTCATCGCAGCCGTTGTTCTGCTTGCTCTGGCACAAGGTATGATTTTTACATTTTAATTTCTTCAAATTTGACAGTGCATGTATTCTGTTGGGCAGAAAAACATTCTTAATATTGACTTTCCTTAAACCCACAGGAAGCTTTGCCCAAGATAGTGCTGATCTTGAAAAGCTCGGTCGATACCTTGAGGACATGAAGGACAAGATGGTTCGGGAGCTGACCGACATCATAAACACCCACGACCTGGCCAACCAGGCTACGTGAGTACAGGCAGACATCCAAATAAATCAGAGTTCAGTCACTCCTCAGAGGGCTGAACATCTACTGGCTGTCATACAGCTTTAGTAAATCACTTTGGAGATTAAGATTATTGCTACATTAATATGTAATACATTACAATATATGATGACATAATGAATTATATGAATGTACACTTAGACAGATTAGAAAGTACTAAAACAACGTCATGCTGTTAGTAATGCAGTGTAATTCATTGTATACTATAAATACATGCATCTGACAGATATAAACAACTGAAGTATTTACACTATGAACAGTATAAGGAGGTGTAAACAAGTGCTGAAGACAAATATATCTAATTATAATCCAGTGAAATAATATAATTCTGAAATGTTGTATAAGGAGTACTTAAGTATATATTGATGCATGTCTTTTTTATTTTTATTTCTCCTACTTTTTCCGCCACTGAATAAATCATAATATAACTTTCAATTTTAGGGTGCATATATAAATATCTACTGCCAAGTAATTAGAGCTTTATATATAAAGTAAAAAGCACCACAATTGCCTTATTATGCAATTCAGATAAAATATTGCAAATACTCATAAAGGACACAATTGTATATAAGTACAGCACTTATTTATTTAACCAGTTGTGTAATATGCAGGTCAGATTGTTTTTTGTATTCTAGTATGTGTGCTTTTGTCTCATGGTGCTCATGTTGTACCCCACAGGAGCTTCGTGAATGAGAAGAAGATTCAGCTGGAGCCCCTGGTGGCTCAAATCCAGGAGCAGCTGCAGGCCGTGGCCTCCAACGCCGAGGCCCAGATCAAGCCCCTGGCCGCCAACGTGCAGGCTCAGTTCCAGCCCCAGATCGATAGCTTCCAGCAGCAGATAGACGCCATCATGCAGCAGCTGACCAGGCCAGCCGCACCCATCGCCAACTAACTGATCAGTGCTCCTTAAAGATGCAGATGTGCCACACCACCACCGTGCAGGCAGAAATACAAGTGTTTCAGTGATTGTTGACATTATCATCTGTCCCAAAGCACAATAAAATCTTGAAACGCAACTGCACTTTGTCCACTTCATTGTGTGTGAGTGTGTGTATGATGGGTGCATGTTTTTAGACCACTTTAGCATCTAGTATAATTGGAGTTGTGAATATGCCAACATTGGCTCAGTCAGTAGGGGCTGTGAGCCATAGGGTTGTCGGTTCAAGTTCCCGATTAGACCTAAATATGGAGTGTGGACTGCTACTTGCAGAGGTCCTGGGGTGCCCTTGAGCAAAAGCACCCCCCCCCCCACAACTGTTAGTACTGGGATGGGTTAAATGCAGAGACCACATTTCACTCTGTGTGCATGTATGAGTGACAAATTAACGGGGTTTCATCCTCCAATTCTATTGAAACTCTTACCAGGATACATCTGGTAACTGCAAATGTAATTATATTTCACGCCTGGCTTACGGTATTTTTCTGTAGTTTCACATCCGAAGAATGACAAACACACAGAATATTTTTCCAAGATTTATTGAAGCAAGCAAAGGTCATAAGACATTTCACAATAAAAGGCTTCTAAAGCCCACACATCCAAACATTTAAAAGGGATAAAATGGCAGAAAGGAATGATTCAATGTCACAGAATTCTCTTCTAAAACCCTCCATGAACTGGTAGTTTTTGATTTTAACTTTTTCCATTTTTTGTTTATTTTCTCATTTTAACTCAACAAACCAGGCCTGGTGTTTGTTCATCTAGGCCTGGTTGGAGACTTGTTACCATAGGCATTTTTTATTATATCATTTCACTTATTTTTACTTTGTTTTGTGTATTTTCATTTTTTTCATTGTTTATTTATTTTGTCCATCGGTGAAGCTAGTCTCAAGATGTCCAACACCTGTGAAAACACAAAAATACAATCAGTGATACGAATAACTCCACAACTCGTCAAGTACACAAGTGACAGCAATGAGAGATGAGATGTCATATCCTTCTCTGGAAAGGTAGTCATACCATGGTTTTAGGCAGTAGCGACTCCAGCCGGGGTTGGCACAGGCTTCTGGGTGGCTTCCTTAGCCTGGTGGGCCTGAAGCACAGCCACCGCCTCATCCACCTGCAAGATAAGGTTGTAGATTGTTAGCAAAACATCATGGGGCCATCTCTAAAGTGCTCCGTTTGCCACAAGATCTTTCCTGCATCTTAAAAAGTGCAAACTAGGCAAGATGATTTCTTAAAATTAATAAACTTTCATCCTTTGGTGGAAATGTTCCTCAAGTTCTTACCTTTGAGCGGAGAGACTCTGGGGACTCCAACATGTGGAGCAGCTCTGAGTTGTCAATTTCCAGCAACATGCCGGTGATCTTCCCGGCCAAACCAAGGTGCATGTTCTGGATCATTGGGAACAGACGCTCACCTAGAGATGTGACAGACAATGAAGATTTAATACAGCGGAAACTACTCACCAAGGACCCGTTAGAGACAACACGTAAAATACATGTTATATACATACGTATTTAATACAGCGAAGAAGGTAAAGTAGGGGATAGAGACAGAGATGGAAGAATAAGGACAGAGAGCTGAAGGCAGGCTAACATAGTGTGTGTATGTGTAGAAATGTTGGTGACACTTACCCAGCATCTGCTTCTGCTCCTGCGGGGGAGCGGCAGCCAGCATGGAGGCTGTCAGAGGCTCCTGTCCCTGAACATGGACAGCAGGCTGATGGGAGGGAAGATGGGAGGGATTAAAAGTCAGATAAACAAAAACATTTGGGTCCATACTGAACTTTTTCAAATGTGCAGGGATGCATGGGTCAGTCAGTGTGGCCTTTTGAAAAATGTGCATTCGTACCTGCTGCATGGCAACTTGTTGCTGCGCAGGCATGTGCTGCTGGGGATTGCGGACTCCTGGGGCATATTTGTACTGAGGGACTCCGCGCACAGGAACTGCGGCTGCAGCAGCTGGCCGGGGGCCCATGGGCTGAGCTACAGCAAGAGGGACAGAAAAATAACGCATAAGAGAAAAGCAGCAGCCAGAAAGGGAAGCTTTATTTTGTGTTTAGTTTGATGGAATATTGACTTGGTACAGGTGACCTACCAACACGCTGGGTGGACATCATGCGGGGCATCTGGGAGGACGGCCGCATGGCACCGAAGGTCTGAGGGCGTGGTGCTGAGGGACGCATCGCACCTGGCATGTTCTGGAAATCTATGAGCACAAAAACATAATGGTATCATACACGAGACAAACAACTTATTTTGTTACAGTGAATACACACAATGATGAACGGACATGTGAGGAAGTGTGAGATGCTTACGTTGTGGCCGGACCCCTTGTGTGGCCCAGCGGGGGCTCGGGCGGATCTGGGCCATCTGCCCAGCAGCTGGGTAGTAAGCAGCACGGTTCTGGGCCTGCGGTATGGCTGCCATGAAATAGCCAGACGGCGGGGCTGGCTGGTAGGGATTGATGACTGGGTTTGGCACTGCGCGCACAGTGGCCATGCGCTGCATGTACTGGTTGGTCAGGTGAGCTTGACGCTCCTCTTTCCGCTGTGCCAGGGCAACATACAATGGCTTGGTGGCTACAATGCGTCCATTCATTTCTGTCACCGCTTTGGTGGCCTCCTCCGGGGACGAGAAGCAGACAAAGCCGAAACCTTTGCTGCGTCCGCCTTCCATCATGACCTGAGTGTCAAAAAAAGAAAGAATAGATGAGTGAAATTGGACACTGGTAAATCTATAAATGATATAGTATAAGCCAATAGCTGAGGCATTACCTTGGCACTGGTTATTGTGCCAAACGGTGTGAACTCCTTTCGCAGACGTTCATCGTCAAGTCCATCATCAAGGTTCTTCACGTACAGATTGACACCCTGGAAAAAAGACAAGTAGTTTTAACTTTGGGATTTATTTTGAGAATATGACTCATTACAAAAGCTTTATCTAATCTAAAGGTATTTGTCTGTAATACATATTTATCCCCAAAATCCATGGTGAAGAAATGTGGGGCCCATGAACTACAGTCACTGTTGCAGCTGTTTTGGCCAGTGCAACCTACTGATGAGAGAGCACCGAATTTGACAAAGCTGCATTCTTTCAACAAGCTTGACCAAACAATATTACAGAAGGGATTTAAAAGAAGCAGCTTTGATTAAAATGCATAATTTGAAAAGGAAACTGACCTGGTAGCGAGTCATGCGGTCTTGTTTCATTTGCTCGAACTTGCGCTTGAGCTCTGTCTGTCGCTCCATCTTTTTCTGGGCACGGCCAACGTAGATGAGCTTGCCATTATACTCTTTCCCGTTCATCTCATCCACCGCCTGTGAAAAAACAAGAAAACTTAGTCAACGCTGTTAAAACTATCGTTCGTTCGCATGCATGTATATCGAGGGGGTCGGCACAACTCTTACCTGCTGGGCGTCCTCATGCCTGTCAAAACTGACAAACCCGAAGCCTCGAGATTTTCCGCTCTCATCTGTCATGACTCGGATACTCATGGCTTGCCCTAGACAACAGAGAAAATATCTTTAAGGACTATAAAGTTGCCCCATGTTATACTGCAGAGGATAAAATACTGTATTCATTTGAACAGGAATCAATATTTTTGAAACAAGGACACCCTGACTGACCGTATTTACTGAAGACGTCCCTCAGCTTCTCCTCATCCATGTCTTCACCAAAGTTCTTAACATAGACGTTTGTAAACTCCCTTGCGCGGGCACCCAACTCGGCCTCGCGCTCTTTGCGGGATTTGAAACGGCCCACGAATCTGCAAATGGACATTTAGCAACATATTAAAACACTTACACTACAGTAATAACACAAAATATTGCTCATCAAAATAGTAATGCAAATTGCATATGTTAAGCATCATAATTTGTTTTTATTGCGTCTTAACCTGCTAAACCCATGTATTAACTCACTTTTGCAAAGAATTCCCGACTGAAAGTGCTCAAGCATCATTCATTGAACAAAGACTCAAGTTTCCCCATTTCATACATTAGTATGCACGACGGTTTTAAATGTGTTAAACCTTAACTTACACTTTTCGGTCATTGAGGAGCATGCCATTCATTTTCTCAATGGCTCGTTCAGCTGCCTCTTGAGTCTCAAAATGCACAAACCCGTAGCCTTTAGAGCCATTCTCGTCACAAACCACCTTAGAGAAAGAAAACACATGCTGTTTTTAAAATCCACACGCATGCAGTAAATTCAACCTCAAATAGTTATTCGACCACACTTCAAATATTAGATTTTTCTATAATACTGTCTTTTCATGTGGCATGCCTTGTATTCAGGAACAAGTTGATCATTTAGTCAACAATTGATTAACAGTAAATGACTGTTGCTTTTATACATCTCAATTGTTTCAACAATGTTGCATGAATTTGGTTCGTAGCTTGGTTGCTATGGGAAAATATATAAAGTTGAGCTAATATTAATCTACATACAAATGTACTGTTCGGTTGATGGGCAGAAGGCAACAGAAACTGACTTTTGAGGGGTAAAAAGTGGGGGGCAAGTATTTTACAATGAAAAAAAACTCCAGTACATTTACATAGCACACACATGCAAATGACCACTTTAAATGTTTTGGCATAACAATGACTTCTGCGTGAGCAGCCCCGTATTTCCGGTTGGAAACAAAAAGATGGGGAGTCGGTCACTTGTCCTTTACCTTGCATGACAAGATGTTGCCGAAAGCAGAGAAGGTGTCGTATAGAGCCTTGTTATCGATAGACTTGTCAAGATTCTTGATGAAGATGTTTCCCACGCCGCTCTTTCTCAGTGACGGATCGCGCTGCGACCACATGATGCGCACAGGCCGCCCCTTGATCACGTCAAAGTTCATGGTGTCCAGTGCACGCTCGGCTGAGGGGAAAAGCACAATTAGCACGTGTTACATTATTCAGTACATCTAAGGGGGTTTCAAATAAAACATTATATGTTAATGAACATCATTTCATTGTTTGTTCAAGTGTAAAAACCTTTAGAAATAAATTGGTTTTTTTGTTGATCGACAGACAATAACCGTTAGTTGCAGATAAATTAATAATTAAGAGCATATTTTTATTTCATATGCATTAGAGGGCTAGATCTACAGTCACCACCATAATACTTCCTATATTAAAAAGGGGTTGTTGTGCAAAAGTCTCCACAGATTATATTTCGGAAAAATCTAAATAAACTATGCACCACCCACATAGACTGCAATACCCATAATTTGCAATAACACTGGAATCTACCCTGGTGCATTTTACACTTTATTATTTGCCAATTTCATATGGTCACTTTATAAATCAAATGTGCTGCTACTTTTGACCATGGTGAACTTATCTGCAATTTGTTTTTTAAGCCTCCCTTTTTTTTTTACAACTACGAACGTATTTGTTCTTCCCTTTATCTGCACTATACTTCTGCTGTTTTAATGCCGTAAATATCCCCAAAGCGGGGCAAATTAATTAATTCTGAAGAATTAGGCAAAGCAATGCTCATAACCGGGGAATGCATCGATGTTGGATGGTGTGCAGGGCTGAAATTCTAACAACTAACCGACAACGTTTGAAATATAGAGTGGAATTTTCATACCACAACAAAGCTAACCGGTTAGCATTCAGGGAGGATTAAATAAACGGTTTAGGCAGCACTTTAGGCCGAACAGTTTGGGTGTCGTCATTACAGAACAGAGATAAAGAGGCATTTAGTTTTCAGCAGCACGCTGCTACATTACTATGGTGGACAGGGCCGGGTTCTTCTCTGCTACGCCACTGCTGGGAGGTTCACATGAGGAGACCCTGCCTATACCGACAACATGTCGGCCGCAGTCACGTGTAGCAAAAAAAGAAAAAGGAGGCTAGCTCTCGCTTATCACCGCATGGCATGTTAAAAACAGACATTTCACACATTTTACTCGGCATTTTCATAAATTACTCACCGTCCGCTGGCTGTTGGAAGTTGACATAGGCGTATCCAAGGGACCGCCGGGTTATCATGTCCCTGCAGACCCTGATGGATAGGATAGCTCCGGCTGGGCTAAATTTCTCGTACAGCATGGCCTCGGTCACATCTTGGTGCAGATCCCCGACATACAGGGATGCCATGGGGTAGCTGGGAGCGCTGGGGTTCATGTTCTAGCGGAGTTCTTTTGGACGAAGACTGATTTTTGATGTTATAACCGGACAAAAGTTTTTGTCGTCTGTTCGAACGTGTGGTTCTCCAACGGTCGTTATAAGTCACGTCAGTTAAGCAGAATGCTGATGGTAGACGTTTACAACCGTTGGCGTCTTACGGCTTTTGAGTAAACAAAATACGTTTAAAATCGAACTATGTCCGCTTCTTAATGAATTTTAACTGTAACTCAATGCGACACGCGATGTTAAAAGCGAATAAACGTGACTTAAGGCCTCGCTTCGGAGCTGGTACGACGTCGACTGAAACAAAAATGTCTTCGGTTTAAACGTTAGCTAGCTCGATCTTATACGTTACCGTCCAATGCGCAGGGTCTACTCCAGCTTCACCGTTGTTACAAAAAGAAATAAAAATGATTTTTTGTATATTTTATGTTTTGAATTTTTTTTGTTTTTTTTTTATTTTTTATAGAACGTGTGCCGAGCGGGCTCAGGAGCACACACGCACTCACACAGCGCTAACAGCCGGGGTAGAGGGGGAGGACACACCGGGAAGAGTTTATATATATACCAGAGGACGCGTCACTGCAACGGACCAATCATGTTCCAGTATATTTGTAAAACAAGTTAACAAGGGGGCGTGAACCACAACTGTACGCATGATGATGAAATCAAGTAAAAACGAATTGTTAAAGGTGAAATCGACTTATTGTGTTGACCACAATAGGCCATTGTTCAGTAGTGCTGCATGGGGACGACGTGAAACCCCCTGCATTTGAGTGGATCGACAGGCGAAACTAAATACCCGCTAGTATACCGTCGCCTACAGTCAGGATGTAATGGACCTGCCGTGCCTTATGAGATTTTTACCGCAACACGGCATTCCGCATTTGATACGTAACGTGTGCATGGGCATTTATCAAATATGATATCGTGCAAGACTCTACATCATATGATTTCCAGTAACATTGCTTTTGCATCTGACACCATCACCATCACGTTTGACAAACTATTTCCTGCAATTTCATGTTGGACATTTATATTCCTATTTTACATGATCCTTTACAATGCCAGACCATGTGTGTATTATTGAGTACACCTATTATGTGCAAATATCAAGCAAGAGTCATGTGTGAAAGGTGTATTTAATATCCATGTAGTTGAAAGGTTTACCTATATGAATAGCTCTGCTGTTTTTATTTTTGTCTTATACAAATCCTTCCCATTATAAACATATGCTTTCTACAGCCTTCATACATCATATGCTGGGGTGTAACTCTTATGGCGTTATCAGCTGCTATCAGAGTGAAAATGAAGACAGAGCTACATTACTCACTTCACTAGATCTGTTTCTGGCCATTGATCTGAGCTGAATAGCTCACAAATGTCACTGAAATGGGCCTACTGACTGAAAACTAAACCCTTGATATTTTATAGTATGGTAGAATAAATACATTTACTCAGGTATGATACTAATCTGAAGCACTTATTTGAATATATGTTTATAATAATATGTTTCAGAGGCTTGCTGCAGTGAAAAACATGTATCTAGATGTGATGACTATACGTTTTTGTGAACCTGAACATTGAATTTGTGCCTTTTGTGCAAAACATGCTTTTTTGAGCACATGAAAAGTTTACTTTTTAGGGATGCATGATGATCCTAGAGAAAATTATGCTTTGCTGTAGATTCAACGTATATACCAACATGTAAAAAGAGCACACATTTAAACATTTACAGCAGTCTAATGCAACATAATAACACATTATAGTTTAACACTGACAGGGAACTGCAGATTAAAAAAGTGAGTCAAGCTTAATTTGAACAAAATTACATCCATACATACACCACAACATGGCCCACAAAGCCCTATCATCTGCAGAGGGCAGTGTTGTCAGTGAAAAGCTAGTATCCATCTGAAATCAAACCAGAGCTCTGCTGCCCTTTCTATTGTGCTTTCCTACTGAATCTTTTTTTTTTATTCACCAGAACCAAGGGAGGTAACGGAATAAAATAAAAAATGATATTAGCTTCATAATGTTTTAATTTCACAGGTCTTTCATCAGTGTACCGAAGTGTCCCATTGGCCTCGCATCAGCTTAATTTTATATTCTGTTTTTGTCTCATTCTATTTTCTTTGCTGTTCTGGCGAATTACTTGAATCATTTTGTCTTTCACTTTTATGTTTAGTTTATTGTATGTCGCATTGTTGCTAAAACTACACAGCAGCTATTGTGCATTATTACAAATAAAGCCTTTTCATCCTTTGAAATCAAAAGTAGTGTTCTGTCTAGATTTGTTAGATAAGAGTTCTAACATTAAATCAGCCACTGTTCAAAGAAGGCGGTGTGCTTTTAGAGGACGTTGCAAGCGGCTATATCACCTAAATGCAATGCTTTATAGGAAACATTTCACCCACAAAATGGCAATTTGTTTCAATTACTCAGTTGAACTGTTTGTTCTTTCATGTCCCCATGGAAAAATAAAAATGGTGTCCTTTTCAATGTTTCTAGACTTTTCTACACTTTTTGGCTATTTGCTCACAATGGAGTAATGCGAGAAATTATCCTTTTTGGGTGGAATATGCCTTTACATGGGTTATTCTCAGATAACCCATGTTGTTGTTGTATGAACCATGCCAAGACTCGGATTTCTTGGCATGGTAAAACTTGACACACGGCTTATCATTTGCATTAATACATTGTAAAAGTCATTCCACATGTACAAAGAGCAAACGCAGCACACTTGATTTAATGTTTTAATTCCACTTACATGAAAGCACATAATCAAATAACATACTCAGTGTTAATTCTGAATCCTGCATCCCATCTTTTTAAAACCAAGATACTGTTAATTATAAGAAACTGGCACTACTTTGTTACTACTAAATTGTCATAACGCAGCTTCCTACCAAGTTACTTTAATAATCAGTTGATTTTAGGCATGTTTTAGTTTTTCACAATGTACTTTCAAGGAAGGTAAATGTTACTGTAAACCACCTGGTTCAAGCTAAATCCTAAGCAGAAACTGCCAGTTTCAAAGCACGGCTAACCCTCACACCATACTACTGAGAACCACATACATTCCAGGAGTCAAATCAATATTCAAGGGAATAAAATACACAAAAAGAAAATACAAAACACCTGAATAGAAAAAGAGTAGAAAGCCACATGAGAGCACATGGCAAAAGTATCATCTGCACTGCTGAACAGATAAAATATCAAAAGTTACAGTATTGCGCCTTTTTGTCAAGTTGTTCACTTAATCTTAGGCTTTCCATACCTTGTCATCTGTTATTGAGAACAGCAGGAAATTATAGTGTACACATTTCACCGAGTTTGAAATAGATGTCAGTAAAATGGAATGTAACCCTCAACCAAACCAAAGTTTAAATACAGTATTCCCAAGTGGCCATTCATACAGAAAACCTTTCCTATGCCCAAATGCACAAAGAGCAATGACAAGTGTACCATCCATAAATACACCATCTGCTACACCGACACCAACAGGGCGGGATGGATACACCCAATATGGTTATAGATCTTTACCAAGGTAAGTCCCTCCATCATATGATCACTGCTTTTTCAAACGAGATCTTAAATTTAGTGACTTCTGATTGCTGTAACAATATTTTTTTTATTTTAACAGTGTATATGGTTCAAAGGATTTTTTTAGACTCGCGTGTCAAAATGATTGTAAATATTGAGTTCAAGTAAAACATACAAATTATCAAAATTACACTTAGAGGTTTTTTTGTTTGTGTTTTCCTGCAACAGCAGCAGTTTGCTACGGTGATAAGGTTGAAGAACATGGGGCAGATTTGGATCTAAACAAAGGGGACATCATTTGGACTAAACAATGAACAAAAAAATAAACATCCACTGTTTGACACAAGTATATTCGAAAGAAACAAAAGAGAGATCTATTCCATTCTTTTCTCTGTGGAGGTGCTCATACAAGTAACACACATACACGTCAGTGTATCTGCATACACATCCTGTACTTTACACATTGTGAGTAGAGTGTAAACATACATATCCGTGCATGTGTATGCACACACAGCCACACACACAACTTAGGCTGGTGAGAGGTAAAACATGTGTTTTTCTTGCTTTTTTTTTTTCTTCTGAAGATTAGTTTTACTCAGTTGCATCCTCCTTCTTATCTTCTTCTTCTTTTTTGTCATCCTTCTCCTTCTCCTTCTCCTTGTCCCCCTCCTCCTGCTCCTGCTCCTGCTCTTCAGCCTGGGCGTCTGACTGCCACAGCTGCAATAGAGCAAGTGATATTGAGATTAGTGTAAACTAAGAATCATGGGAAACAATTCAATATTTCAAACATTTAGTAGAATTAGATGACTTATAAGTCAAAATCAACCAAACCAGTGCAGAGATAAGTGAGATCAGAAAGTGACATTTTAGGACACAGAAATGAAGATGACACACTTACTGTCAGATTGTCACGGAGCAGCTGCATGATCAAGGTGGAGTCTTTGTAGGAGTCAGCGTTGAGGGAGTCCAGCTGTGGAAGGGCTTGTTCAAATGCCTGGAGGAGACACAGACAGCCATCAGTGCTTCCAAAGAACATGTGTTTAGGCTTCCGAAAATTGTACCCAAAAAAATGCAAGGAAAAACTAAAAGAAATGATGATAATGGATAAAAAAAGACAACAGCTAACAGCCACGAACAAGGTTTAAGATAACGTGTACATTCCTGCTGTACTTGATAAAATGTTGAGTACAACAGCTTTAGTCAAAGGTACGGGCTGACATGATGCATTTCTGTCCAACAACAACTGTACATCGGAAAATTAGTAAAACCAAGGTATTTTATGGTTTTTGTTATGGTGTAAGACTGATGTACTAATGCTCATTATGTACACAATAAGTACCTACTATCGCTTGGGGATCCATCAGAACACTAACAGCAGACAGCATGGTAGTTTATCATTGCAGCCAGATTCTACCATTTAGAATTACTTAATTGTTTTCTATTTGTACCGGGAGCCAGTAAAAACATTCATTTAAAAACTAACAAAATTCAAAAAGGGTCTTGAAAACATGCGGATAAAGTCTGAATAAAAGTCGATTCATGACAGCTTGTGGCAGAAAACCACAATGCAAGGTTTGAAAATTGTTGAAAAACTTGTGATAATGCACCTGTTCGTTTATAAGGAAATTATACCACCTTAACCTTGTCTTCCTATGACAAGTTAAAATTAGTAAAGGTGAAAAGTCCCTTTGTACTCAAACATCAGGAAAAACACTTCCGCTTCTAAGTTAACTCATTTGTTACAGAATCACAAACCCACATTAACATCATATAATGCTTTTCACAAGATAAAAAAGTTGAAATGAAACAGTTATATGAGAAAATGGCAGTCCTTACTTCCTTGGCCAGCTTGCAGGCTTTATCAGGCGAGTTGACGATCTCGTAGAAGAAGACAGAGAAGTTGAGAGCGAGGCCTAGGCGGATGGGATGGGTTGCGGGCATTTCATCAATGCTGATATCAAAGGCTTTTTGGTAGGCCTCTTGTGAATTAGTAATGGTTGCTGTACATAGAAAGAGAGATCAATCAGTTAGAAGATTTTACTGAATTGGAAAGAGCTACCTGTTGAGGTTTGTTCACATTAATAGCTGACTGCCGGATAAGAGTACATTCCTTTGTTCAGAATCTGTATGTGCAAGACGGTGCATGTTCCTGCTTCTAAAATATATTTCGGGCAATCATTACATTTCACTTTTTAGACGTTTTTATCCATAGCAACTTACATACATTCAGTACTGTGGACAATCCCCGAGCAATTTGGGATGAAGTGTCTTGCCCAGGGACACAACGACATGCCTACTGCAGTGGGACTCGAACATGCTACCCCCTGATTCGAATTTTAGCGAACTATCCACTGAGCCACAGCCTCCCACATATGCCAATATTTACACATGCAGTTCAATTCATAGATACGTCACCTAAGCCCTTCTTATGCCCAAATTGCCGGGCTGTTTATGACTATCCATTAACCTGCTGATTATTTCCTCCACAAAATAATTATTTCGTTCCACAGAATGTAATAAATATGTTGATCAACTCATTTGTTAATTGTTTCAGCTAGGGATGCTCCAATCAACCGGCCGCCGATCAACATCAGCCGATACTCACTCTCTACCGATCGATCGGTGCTCTCTAAAAATGCCGATTGCACGACGTAAAATGATGACATAAAACGCGCACAGAGAAAAGTGTCATGTATTTTATGTCATCATTTTACGTCGTGCAATCGGCATTTTTAGAGAGCACCGATCGATCGGTAGAGAGTGAGTATCGGCTGATGTTGATCGGCGGCCGGTTGNAGATCTTTGAGTTATCTCATGAAAAATGGGAGCAAAAACACAAGTGTTGCATTTATATTTTTGTTCAGTATAATAAATATATATCTTTATATACATATGTATATAATAAGTGTCACGATATGATTTTATTTTGTATTTGCGTGCATTTCCTGTTTGGAAAGTGGCGCTGTACTGATAGAGGTGATTTTATTTTGGAATTCTTAGCGTGCACTTCCTGTCCTGAGAGTGGAGGTGTCCTCAGAGTGCAGGTGTCCTGAGACTGCTGCCTGCAGGCAGGCTCCCATGTGTTTATTGGCTGAGTGCAGCACTGGCATTAAGATGAATCTGTTGTTGCCTTTCGGCTTATGTGTTTTGATTAATTCAACAAAAGGAGAACGTTTTGAAGAAAGCAGGAAGAAATTGAGCATTACATGAACAAGAGTGATACCACTATCATGTCTCTCTCGTGCAGTAAATACAAAGCCACAGCCAGGAGACAGTTAGCTTAGCTTAACAAAAAGACTGCAAACAGAGTCAAACTGCTAGTCTGGCTATGTCTAACGTTCATAAATCTGTCTTACCGATGTCTAAGACTCTCTGTTTGGCTGTGTGCTGGCGGGAGTGCCAGTACTTCCAGTACTTCAGCTGCTCGTCTCGGTTCTTGTCTTCACTGAACACCACCATGATCACACTCTGAGAAGAGAAAAACAAATAAATGATGGTCACGTCTTTGATTATTCAACTAAGCCAGTGTCTCTACATTATTGCACAAAAGATAGCTTAGAGAGGTTTCGTCACTTTAGGTAGACTATGCAGTTTTTTTAAGTGTTTTTTGTGGGTGAAATATAAACTACAGCTAAATAAATTAAACTGGGATAACTTTTTGGCAGGAACCCTCACCCGAACTTTGCTGATGGGGTGACGGAGGCGTTTGTTGGCACTGAGCTCGTTAAGCGTCACGGCGTAGAACTGGCCTTTGTTCAGGTAGGTCATCGGTCCCTCGCCCTGCTTCTGACGCAGAGAGCGGGTGGCGTCCAACGTGTACTGGAAGCTGTCACTGCACACACACACACACACACACACACACACACACACACACACACACACACACACACACACACACACACACACACACACACACACACACACAAACACACACAGAGATAGTAGTTGATTAGACAATGTGGGATGGGGGTGCACCACACACTTTTGCATGCCTTTGTGGATCACAAATGTATATGTTTGTATGCTGAAGGACTTACACTCCCTCCTCATGAAATATGAAGCCATCTGGGGCCAGAGAGGAAGGTGCGTGGTACTTCTGTTGAGAACGCTTAAAACACATGGAAAGAGGAAATCATTGAAGTTCTTTTAGCCTGAGAGGAACTGGTCAAACAATGCTTTAAAACAATATTCTCATAAATAATAATGACATGGAGATTTCAGGCAAACAGTGAAAACATTCAATAACTATTTGTAGATTTCTGTTGAGGTAATTAACTTTTGAATTATCAATGAATAATATTTAAACATCCATCCATCTTTGCGTACCTTTAAAAAAAAAAACTGCAGCATTGCATGTACATTTAATGTTCCCATCCTCTCTCTTGTTATAATAATTGTGCCTCACTACATTTCCCATATTGTCTTTTAACAACCCCTAGTTTGCCTGATAATTTACTTCACTGTAATTTACTAATTTACGAATTTAAAAACCAACGAAGTTAGACCCAGTAATACAGTACATACAATATTAACTGTTATACTGCGCTTTTTGGGCCTGTTTTCCCTAAACGTGTTGGCTTTTATCCTGCTAAAAAAAGCATTATATATGTATTAAAGTTCTACATAGAAAAAAAGTCATTTAAAATAGCGTCGGAAAGGTTCAACCGGTCGAGTATTTAACAAAAAAAGAGGAATTATTAAAGAAAATTCAGAAAAATAATTAATAATAATTTCTTCAGGTGAAATTATTAATGTAATTTATTGTTTTTAATTTCCAATTTGGATTGAATTATGTCATGACTGCTCAGATTTATTTTGTGACCCCACCAGACTGGAAAGCACTGTTTTAGTTTGATGTTTTCTTTATGCTGTCATCACTCAGTATGTATTCAGACTCTCACCATGTCTCTCTCCTCCTCGTACGGGCTGTCGGGCGGACTCTGCTGGTCTTCCTTCACATACGAGCTGTGGCTGACCGTGGTCACCTCGTAGGGATTCTGTTCGTAGATCACCCTTGACGACAGCTCCTCTCCCTCCCCCCTGTAGTGAAGCCCCGCCCCCGACATGAAGACGGGCGCGTACACCTCGGCCTTCACGTGGGCCAGCGCCGGCGAACCTCCGTCCGCCGACACGGCCTCGCTGGAGCTGCTGTAGTGGTCCCGTTTGCTCTCCTGGTGCTCCGTGTTCAGGGACAGGTTGACGGGGACAGATTTGAGGACTTGAACACGGTTGTCCACCGTCTCCATCTCACTTTGGCTGCCGGGGTTGCTTGGCAATACAGACCTGAACAAAAACATAACATTTAGTTTTTATTCTTTTCATTACTTTTGACTCCTACTGAATGACTGCACTGTATTGTGTGCTTTAATAGAAATTGGAGGATATTGGACAATAACAGTTCCTACACCATCCAATGATATAGGGAAAAAAACACTACATTTGGTAAATTTCCACTATCAGAATAATCCTGTATATCCTTGTCTGCTTTACAAAGTTGTCTAACTTTACTAGAGTAAAAACTGTCAACATGTTTGTCAGGTCTCAAAGATTAGTTTGTGAGTAACACTGTATCTACATATAACTGTATTGTATCTACAAGAAACCTCCACAGGGCACCTGTAATAGGTGTGTCTGAATATATTAACCTGTTTTATTGCTTTAAAAAAAAAAAAAAGATTCCATGTTCTTCTATTCAGAAAAAGAGAGACCTGGAGTTACCATTCTTGTAGATAAATGTTACAAAAGCAGAGACCCATTAAATCATGAAATCTTTGGATCTTCTTCTTTTTTTTACAGGGAACAGGACGTTTTCACTGGCCTCAATCTATCCTGTGCTGCTGTCTCAGTGCTTCAAGTGAAACAATGAGTGATCTTTGCACACATGCCTGCTAAAAGTGCTATTCTCATATAACTATTGTGTTATGGAAATTGTGTGTTTATTCTTCATACAAGTCTTCCATTTCACTGCTCCATATGTAATATCATTTACTACGGGTGCACCATGTCAAATACTACAAACACTGAGCTCCAGGATTTAATTCCATACATTGCTGGGAAAGGCTAGCAACTACATGTTTGACATTTCTTTTCTCTCTGTCTGTTCATGTACAACATTGAACCAGTCACGGAGACACAAATTCACTGACCTCCTCTCATGTTCCTCTGTAATTTCCACGACTTTCGGCACTGGCAGAATTCTCTTTTCTTTAGGCACCTGGGAGGAAGAACAAAGAGTGGTGTTATGTTGGCCTTCAAACTGTACCTGACATTTTTCTTTGATAGAATGGGATGCCATGACTTGAAACTGCCTAAAATAGCTCCTGCCTGTTAACTACAGTACTCTCCACAATGTATGTTTAACATAAGTGCAGTTAGAAAAGTGGTTAAATAATAATCAGTGTGTTTTGAAATAATTGATTTGTTCGACAAACATAATGATGTTAACCATTATGTCAGTGTAGCTTAAAAATCTTTGATTCCCAAAAAGTATGCTATTTAATTCAAATGAATATGATATTTATTCATTTTTTCTGTATTTTTTGTTTTTATCAATTTGCTTTTCCATCTGATGGAACAGAAATAAGCACAGCTGACATGTTTTTTACAAAGTCCTCAAGGTTTATGGTTGAACCTGGGAGAAAGACACTATAAACAAGCTCTTACTTAAAAGTCAAGTAAATCTCAAAACATGCTTTACATAATCTTTTTTAATTTTTTGCATCTTTAGAAACATTTTCTCTTAACATGAGGTGACGTCTTCCACATTTCTGTCTGACCTCCTCTCCAACATACCAACAAATATGCAGTTTATCATCATACAAGACAAAGAAAAGCATGAAGCCCTCCACACCTTGTAGTATTCGTAGAGAAGGCTCAGGGCGTTGGCGCTGTCTTCGTCCCCGTTGATGCTCATCATGGCCTTGGTGGCGGCCGTCAGCGGGTTCTCCAGGTACGACCGCCATGCCTCGTCCTCGCTGGTGTACGCACGCCGCACCGCGGG